CTTACATTGTAATAGAATTTATGTTATTGTAGATTGGAAGGATTTTAGATCTTAGAAAGAATTCACTCTCATTTCACTACTTATTATTCATTCAAATTAATAAACTTATCATTTAGAGTTAATTAAATATAAAATTAATTAGGAAAATAAACCAAAGTGTGCCATATAAAATATTTTTAGTATGATACATTTTTTATAAAAAGAATACTTTGTATTACATTATTATTTAATATATGTGATATAATATATTTTTGTTAAATCTAATATAATATCAAAATAAAAGATCAACTTTTTTACTTTGGCATATTTAGAATAATTTCTTTTATTATTATTTTATATTTTTTTTTATAGAATTATTATAATTGTAGCTCAACATAGACTATATTTTTTCATAATCCATAGCTTTCATTTATTTAGCATAGCTAAATTCTTTACTTACCAGCATAGATATTATAAAAGAATTTATAGATAATATAAAGCTAAATGATATCAACAATTACATAACATGGAATTTTTGGATAGGAAAAATATTAATAAGCAAGAAAATATAGAAGTTTGTGCATAGCCATTTCCAACAACAGATAAATCCAATGATTAAAAAATAATTTTCATCATCTCATAGCCAAGAAAAAGAAGACATTGAAGAATCAACAAGTAACATTTATATATTAGCCATTTCAATCAACTCCACATTCTTACAAAAAGACAAAGAAATAAGGTTAGACATCTTATTCATATTCAAACTCTTAAAGAAAGATCACCTTATTTCTATTATTTGATCCTTTCAAAGATCTACATTTACTTTGGTCTGAATAAAAATTCTTATTTGAATCACAAAGTCCAACAAAAAGTCTAATATTAAAAAAAAAAAAACTACACTCCTTAAAGTTCAATGAAGTACAAAGCATAGAAAAGAACCTACAATAAGTTTATGATATTGTAGGCCTACTCACAAGTTGTAGCAAACTTTTTTTTATGAAGAGCTTTTTAAAATTATACTTTATATTCTCCCTTCTAAATTCTTGAACTTTTGATAGAATGTAATCAACAACATTGGCAGTATATTATCAAAAATGGTGGATTTAGAAGCAAGACTTATACAAGAAGATGCATGAAAATCCTTTTCTTAAAAATAATATGATAAAGTTTTCATGGCTCAATTCTAGCAATATAAATTCAAATCTTAGCATGACAAAAATAAGTACTATCAACAATGTCCAACATATCAAAATTCATTTCAAACATACTATCTATGACAATTCAAGCAAAACAACATACAAAATTAATAATTTAGAAGAAGATATAAATAAAATTCAAGTACTATTCAAAATTTGATAGAAGAATGTTTCAAATACGGATCATCTAAATACCTTATATAATATTAATCAATAATATTATTTGAACAAAAGCTAAAGAATATGGAGATTCATATGTTCCAAATTAAAAAAATATTAATGATTATATATGCATCTAATAAGGCAAATAATGATAAAGAAATTGTCACGGACATACTCATGTAAACTAATAATTACATATACAAATACGTGGAAGTAAGTAAAAGTATGTAAAAGTAAGTTAATTCTATAGTATTTAATATGGAAGCTTCCTAGAAGCTTTATAGATGCTGCTTTGACTTCTTAGGTGTCTTTAATTGACTTTTTGGATTAGAAACATGGTCAACAAGTTGGCCATGTGCCACACATATTGTTAGCTTGAAAATCAAGCTAACTATGTGGCCCACATGTAGAAAAACTTGCCTTGTAAGTCAAGGCATGTGTCCTACAAAGTCAACACATATTGGAGATCCTATAGAACGTTACCAAGTAGCCTCTAGTTAGATAGTATATATAGAGACAAGAGTGAAGCCTTCTTCACTCTTATCAATTCCTTTCTTGCTTCCAGTCTAGTTTCAAGGGTCTCTAGTTTTCTTGTCTTTTGGTAATAGCCATTCCAGTTTCTCTTTCAATATACATACTTATTTATTTATATTTTGTTACTTTTCTTTGAGTGAAAGCTTACTTGTCTAAATTACTTTTTCATTGAGTTCTTGTCCTTGACAGAAACATCTATTAAAAAAGCTCTAAAGGTTGGCATTGCAAAAATTATGAATGTATGCATGGCAAAGTTTAATTCCACACAATTCAATAACATTAGTTGTTACATTAATTCAAGGAAAAGTCAACATATAATTAGCAATTTTAAGTTATTATACCATATTAATTAATAAAAATAATCTAGCATCAAAATAATAGGATAAGACTTATTTCTTATAATTGAAAAAAGATATGTTTATCTCAATTTGGAAGGAGAAAACAAGTTCCTGAAGTTCTTTATATCCTTTATATCAAAAATAATCTTTTCTTAGTTGGAATTTTTACAAAAATGGGATATTACGTTATATTCAATTCAAAATAATGTATCATCTTTGATAAAAATAAACCTTATAATATATATTTATAGAAAATTAGAAATTTTAGAAATAAATTATATAAAGTAGTTATGAATAAATCACAACTAATTGGATATTCAAACAAAAAATGCATGCTTACCATATAATGTGCTATTTACACACCACTGCATCTCTATGTCAACACATCCACTACTTAGCTAATATCTTTCTATAAAATTCAATTATGTCAATTGACATATTTTTATACCAAAATATATGAAAATCACATGTCTAAATCTATCAACCTTTCTACATCAAATATCACGTGATTAGTTGATATAGTAAAAAATTAGGTTGATTTTATAATTCAATATATAAATATATATATATATATATATATATATATATACATTATAATATATTATTAATATTTCAATATATATAGACATAAAGTAACAACATTTTAAATAATTTTTTATATTGTTAACAATGATGTATCTTCATGCATAGAGCTAATAAAAGATCTAAAAAAAAAAAAAAAAAAAAAAAAAAAATGATTTTTTTTTAAGTTTTATATTAAAAAATTATTTATTTAAGTTACTAAAAAATAAATTTTAAATTTTAAATCAAGCAAACATATCAATAATAAAAACTTATTATAATTTATATATAGATTATAAATAATTGAGTGTTAAATTATTTTATAAAAATTAGTAATAAGTTATTAATTGAATTATGAAGATTTTAATAATAAAAAAATAATTATTATTTAAAAAATAGAAATATAATAAAAATATGCTAATGAAAATAAGTTTTGATTAAGTATTTCAATAATATATTTAAGACATTGGATTTATTTATTTTTATTAATAAAATTATCTTAATATTATCTTACTATCTTAATAGTATTCATATTTTTAATAATTTTTTATTATATAAAAAAATAAAAATAGAAATCAAGATAGATAGATATTTATTAGCTTTTATAATTAATTAAAGATAAGAGTCTTAAATATTATTATTCAATAGATTTGTTCCTAAGATTTTGTAATCATATCTTAATAATTTTTTAAAATATATTTATTAATATTTTATTAATAATTATTTATTTATTTAAATTATTTTAAAATAATTACATTTTGAGTATATTTAAATATATATACATAATATTTTATACTTTCAATAATAATTAATCATTATATATTGATATAATCTGAAATATTTTTACTAATTATTTAATCTTTATTAAACAAACTTTTAAAAAAATATTATAGAATTAATTTTTTTATAAGATTTAAGATTAGAAATTTAATATTTAAGATTTTAAAATTAAAATAGATAATTTATTTTTTTTTAAATCAATAAAACATTTATTTATTTTTTCAAATTTTGATTTTTTTTTAAGAGCCTCTATTCAATTTCTTCTACCAATCTTTTATATTTTACTACATCAAGATTATATTCCTTAATATTTTTCTTCTAAAATCATTACTTTCAAATTGATTTGTAATAGGTAACAAAGTTCTATAACAATATTTCTTTTTAAAAGTGGTGCAAGCAAAAATGTTTAAGACTTGTGTGATGACGTCCAAATATTTTGTAAATCAATAGATGTGTGTTGCTACCATCACTCCAAATTTTTCCTGCTTATATATTCTTTGAGCACACAATCAACTCAGATCAACCAACTCTTGTAACATTTGCAATGAAATTGATCACTTTTTGCAAACTAAATTTTTATCTTCAATTTGCTTCACAATCTCTTCCTAACACCTCCCTACAAGAGACAATTGTGAATATGCAAAAATACAAATGGGTGATTGTTAAGAACAACACAAGATGTTCTAGCAAGCCTTGATCACATACAACTTGTTGGATGCAAAAGAGAATGGGCAATAGTCATAACACTGGTGATGTTACATGCATATGCATCAAAGCCAATATCAAAGGTGCATCAAAACCAAATCAAGGGTGCATCATAATCAAAGGTGCATCAATGCCTTGGCTAGATTGTGCCGAGGACTATGACTGCAATGGAGACTCATGATAAGGGGGTTGTAGAGAAGAGAGCTACAATTGCCGAAGAAAGTAGAACAAGCAATCTAATCACAAATTAACAATTTGGCAAAGTAAACTTTAAAGGCACATTATAAAAGCACATGGTTTGAGTTCCATATAGAAAAAAAACAAAAGTTATAGATTCCATGAACATGATTTCGCCTTTGTCAAATTGGTAATATCTTATCATATTTAAAAATACATTTGCTATTATCAAAAATTCCAAGGGTATATTTTCTATTATGAAGAATGCAAGGATATTCTTAATATAGTAGCATATAGGGTATATATGATATTTTCTCATGCCTACCAATTTCCACAAACTTTCTCATGGCAGCCCCAATTAGTGCCATGACACAACAATTGATCATTGGACTTTTGTGTCCACAAAGTGTGCACCCGGACGTCATGCCCTCTTGTTCAAAAATCATAAACAATCAGAATGGGTACCACAGTAGCAGCGGACCTCAAAGCATAATATTCAGCATAGAATTTTATATTTGTACCAGTTTCCTTGACCGACGGCAACATATTCTTCCTTCCAATCCCAAATAGACCCTCAAAACCGGTAATGATCAGGAAGGATCTAAGACCATGTGCCCCTTCCAAACATCACTAGGCCCCCAAGTTACCATTCCAATGCATTCATTTCGGCTCCACTCATCCCCTGATAACCACCACTAGAATATTTCTCAACTAGAGCCTGCAGAAGCTGACCTCGTACTCACCTCTCAATCACTATGGTGGTAGCCAAAGAGCGCTCACACGCTCTTTTCATATTGCTCCTCACGGTTCTCACGTCCTGGACATACTTTGCACAGGCAGCTTCTAGCTATCAACACACCACTACCTTCCCCAGTGAAAATGGTTCCCAGGTAACCATGAACTCAGAACACCACATTCATTCAATATTGGCGGTTTTTTTCTTGTGAATTTCGCAAAACTATCAACATGATGCAAGTACCAAGTGCAGTTCAATTATTTAGAGTCTCTTTTTATGCCAATTATGTGTTGTGAGTTTGTGAGCTAGTTCGGTTGCCAAGATGTACTATGATATGATAACTGTAATCTTTAGTGTGGATAGAGAAATTACAATTTGGCAGTGAAATTGGCAATGTGAAAACAGCCGATATTGAACGAACATGGCCTTTTTCAAGCTTCACTGATCAACGATGTTTACTTATATGACTCGCTTGTGGGTTCCGTGATTGATCACTAAGCTCCATGTCTCACCATGAGTCGAGTGCTCTGAATGTATGTAAACTTCCATCACATTTTGAGCTTGAATTGAGCTAACGTTCTGTGCATTTGAAATGTTGACGCGGTTCCAGAGCATACGAGTGGATCTCATCCACAGAGATCACCCGTTGTCGCCCATCGCCCCTGCCGAGGGCACCACGCTCAGCGAGCGGTTACAGGCGGCTGCCAAGCGCTACCAGAAACGAAGAACGCTCCTTACGTCCCGAGGTCGCCGACTGGGAGCTTTCACGACGCCGATAACAGCAGAGAGCTTCGAGTATGTCATCCCGCTCTTCTTCGGCACACCACTGCAGCCTTTCACCGGCATGGTGGACACCGGCAGCGACTTGGTGTGGATCCAGTGCTTGCCTTGCATCAATTGCTACACCACCCACCCTCACCCCGAGTTCGACCCTACGACCTCCAGCTCCGAGGCTTATGTGCCCTGCACCGATCCCGCTCTCTGCACAGCAAGCAATGTAAGACCAATTGTAGCACAACACGAATTCATGTTATAATAATTGCGGGGCAATATCCTAGTAGAGGTGGAGCGCCCTGGAGCACATGGGGCATCCTCACCGACCTAATGCAGGCCCTACCTAAGCCACGACCACTTGGCCTCCCTACTGAATTGGTCCTCCACGCCACTCCCTACATTGAAGTTCCAATGCTCGACAAGCTGCATGCACACTAGCTTGTTGACATCAACGATAGTAGAGTCAAAGGCTGTGGTGGGGCTGGCATCAGGTCGCTGCTTGTCGGGTGGACGTGGGATGCTTAATGTTTTTCAGGGCATTCCCTCCAGTTCTAGGATTTTGCCTAATTGTGAATGCAGCGACCAATTTGTGGACTGATCCTGGTTGGTTGCAGATCGGTGTGAACCCAACGTGCGAGGCGAACTCGAACCACTGCCGCACCACGTACCTTTACCTGGGGGGGGGGGGGGGGGGGAGCCAGGTGAAGGGGTGCTGACGACCGAGACCATGTCCGTGACGAACACGGCGGCCGCTGCGCCGGTAGTAGACAGCTTCGTCATAGGGTGCATGAACAACAACACGGGGTCTTTCCCGTCCGTCGACGGCATCGTGGGGTTCGCTTCCATCGCAGTTCAGTGCACGGGGCGATCTCGACGTGTTCGCCTTCTGCCTGGTGCCCTATACAGCCGCCACCACGCTCACGTCGGCCCTCGTGTTCGGCTCCCGCGACGCGACCAACGCGCTAGGCCTAGTGTACACGCCTCTCCTCCAGGGCACTAGCCCGAGCTTCTACTGGGTGGGCATGGTGGGCGTGAGCGTGGCCGGTGTGGACGCCGGCATTCCCACTGCCTTGTTCGCCAGCACGGACGGTGTGCTCTTCGACTCGGGCACACCGTTGACTTACTTTGCACCAGAGATCTACGACCCACTGCACCAGAGCATCGCGGGCGCCATTCCATATCCTGTCGCGCCTGACCCCGTCGATGCTGTGGTGGCCAAACCTCTCAACAGGCTGTGTTTTGACCTGGCTGGCGTTCAGAGCCCCGTGTTGCCCACCATGGCGTACCACTTCACTGACGCCGATGCGGCGGGAGCCACCGTGGACTTTGATCTGGGATTAGAGAATATTTACATGAACGACATGAACACTGTGTGGTGCTTGGCGATCGTCCGGGGTGAGAGTGGAAATCCTAGTATCGTCGGCAACATCCAACAAGCCAACCATTACATTGAGCATGACGTCGCACTTAATCGCATCGGGTGGACCTCCAAAGATTGTACCGTGTAAGCCGATAAAAAGGCATGTTGGCGATTGTCATTAATATGCCAATTGCACAATCTGTTTTGATCACCAAATTCTGCCACTCAAAATTAAACCTATCATATCAAAATTGATAACTTATGCTGGCATGTTGATGAGAAAAATCAGAAGTGAATTTAATGTTATCCACCATCGCGAAGGTGCTCAATGTGCAACCTTTCCTGAGATTCACCAGAAACCTGTTCTGAGTTTCGGGACAAGTTTTACGAATAGGCCATCAGGCATATATGGGGTTCAAACACTACTTATATCTTGCAAAGAAACAAACTCGATCAGATGACCAATGAAGTTGAAAATTTGAACTTCCCTCTGGATTGATTTGCTAGCTTGGCTCTTTGCAAAGATGTGAAGTTTAGGTTTAAAATAAAGAATAAAATCTGTATTTGAAGTTAGATGACACCATCGAAAAGGTTTCACAGACCAGTTACCATTCAAACCTGGAGAAGTCCTTCAAGTGGCATGATTGTTGATCGTGCTTTTGAGTTGTGATCTTCGCTTATTTAGTAATTTCAGAAAAGATCCATGCGCAAGAGTTTCAAAGACGATCCTAGTTAAGAACATATTTCTGATGAAACCCCAATGCACATGTAGACATTAGGTGCTTGCTTAGTTCAATGTTCGTTTAGAGAGACAACTTCATGCGTGAGAATCTTGGAATTCAACCATCCATTCCACCGGGTTTATCTTCGTAAAGGCCATTCTCGATTTTAAGTGCAGGAAAAGAGTTTGAGAACAGTACCAGTGAACTGAAACATGAAGAGAGGGAATCCATCAAAACTTAAAGATCCAACACTGCAGACTACACTCACACTCGGTCATCTACACAGGCTCAAATCTTTCAAAAAGCTAAGGGAGTATTACAAATTTGCGACTTGTATAACGGAGAATTAGAGGGACTACGATTTTTGTGATAAGCTTTTGCAAGTACAAACGACATTTAGGTAATCGGGTCTCTATTTGTCACATCCAAAAGCAAGAGTATGTGTTGTGACAACACACAATTTATTGGACAGACTGGCTAGAAGACGCCTTCTAAGCGACAACTTAGATGCATATCTGGATGGCTTTATAGATTCTAGCTACACTTCAGATTGTTGATCTTCATATCATCAGTGTACACAAATGTCAATTTGAAGTGTACATACATTGCTGATCATTTTCAATTTTGCCAATTGTAATGCAAAATGTGCCTTGTAGATTTATAAGCAATTGTTGATGTCGAATTGTGATATTGTGAAATTTCAGTCCATCGTCTGATTGTGACAAAGCGATGACTACTACTTCTAAAGTCAGGGTTTAAGGTTGGATGACTTCAATTCTAGGCAGGTATCAAAGTCGAGAGATGTCGTAGTTTATGACATCCCAATTCGGACATTTGTGGATGACTCTCCCACAGATTCCACTAATGCCAGAATGTGTTGATCATTTATCAAAAATGACTACCGAGAGTACATCATCAAATCATATTATAATTCAAGCAATCAACGCTACTCAACAACTTCGCCATCAAGGGAACAACATCTGAGAGAATTAGAATTCAGGATGTGTCAAACCGCGCAGGACGCTTAGTAAATTCAGAGCCGGTTAAATTAGCTGCAAAGTATTATCTAGCATTCCTAATCCCGGGATACTAAAAGGATACTTACTCTGTTCTACAAGTAAATGAATGGTAGTCAAAATTGATTACCAAAACCAGAGCCGTGCCCGGGAGCCTCGGAATATACCACTACAATTTTACAATTCCAGGAGGACTGGCCAATATCAACTGAGAAGATTTCCAGCGCCACACCTATACGGTCATCTTCTCAGACTCCTTGCGCAATGCATTGGCTCTGATCAGGCTCCCGATAGTGTTAACTGCTAGCTTCAGGTCGTCCAATGGGTTTCCAGGCACCACCACCTTGTACAAATAACTATCAAACGTCATCTTTTGCACGTAGTCGTCGGCGCACATCTCGACGAATGCCTCTCTGGCAGGGTTGGACCTGTAGAAAACCTTCTGCAATATGTCCAGCACCTTGTAAGTTGCCCAGTACTTCTTGTCCCATTTATCTAGATATGTCCTCAAATCTGACTCGTCAATCATACGAGTTCCGTTGGCGGAGCCTTCCACAATAGCCTCAGCACACATGCGTCCAGACTTAGCAGCAAAGTAGATACCCTCCCCGGAGCACTTCGTCACGTATCCAGCCGCGTCCCCAACTAACGCCACTCTGTCGCTCGCCCTGCGAGGCCTTGGGTGCTCCGGAATGGGGTGTGCCTCAACCCTGATGATCTTTCCTCCGGCAATCTTGTCCTTCGCCCGGTTCCTCGTGGCCGTCTGGTACTTTTTGATGGCTGGCTTGTTGATGACCGTCCCCGTTCCGACTGCAACGTGGTCACACTTCGGGAACACCCACCCGTAGAAGTCTGGCGACACATCGTCACCGACATACATCTCTGCCAAGTTCTCATAGTACTCCATCTTATCCTCAGGAATCTTAATCCTTTCTTGGAAAGCGATGGCGTAGTCGTACTCACCAGCGTCAATGTCCTTGGCCACCCTGCTGTTGGCACCGTCAGCTCCAATTACAGCATCGACTTCCAACACCGCAGGAGTTCCTATCTTCGAAGAGCCATCAAAATTGGTGTAATGCAGCCTATAGGGGCTATCATTATCCTTGGGAACCTCCATTCTCAAGAACAGCCCGTTGATGATGGACGCTCCGTTCTTTTGAGCCCTCTCCCTCAAGAACGAGTCCAACACCTCTCGCCTAACCATACCAATATACTCGTCGTCGTTCAGAGTCTTACCAACATCGACAGCAACATTGGAAGGCGAAATCATTTTCATCTTCGTCACTTTGCGGTCGATAATTTCGGGCGGCAGGTCGAATTCTCCGACCATGCAAAGGGGAATAGCTCCCCCACATGGCTTAGCATTATCCAACTTTCGCTCAATGAGAAATGTCTCAATTCCGCCCTTGGCAAGAGTCTCCGCAGCGCATCCACCGGCAGGGCCACCTCCGACAACTGCCACTCGCAACTTTCGCCCCTCAATCTTTTTACTTCCCCTCGCGGCATACACCCGAAGAGGCTGGTATCCGGCTTCTTCAACCACATTGCTTCTTCTCTCGGCCTTCAGGCTCTCCACGGCGGAGGTGGGTCCACTGGCATTCAAACCCCTCAAGCCCTCGAAGGACTTCAACGAAGCATTACGCCCGCTGGAGGCAACAAAGCCCAGGCAAGAAGTGCTCACGCCTCGGGAGGAAATGCTGGCGCAAGGCACCAAGACGGCAGCAGTCTCCGAGTGGGAGGAGACGGCTCTAGAGGACGCAGCGAAGGAGGCAGGGGAAGCGGTGATAACGGCCTGGAGAGAAGCCATGACTGCAGAATGTCTCGCAATGTCTCAGGCCCCGCACAAGATGACCCTCTCGTCTCAAAGCACAGTCACGCTGAGGCAGCGAACAGCTAAATCCTGGGAGATTTGTGAGCGAGAGAAAGATTGCCTTCAAGCTTGGGAGGGCGAAAAGGACGAGGTTTGGAGGGCGATGAGAGGCTGGGACTGGATAGCGAGGTATGGGGCCTGATTGGAACGCCGAGCGCCTTCAGATGAGGTCTCTTTTCGACTTTATCTTAACCTCCTCCTCCGTAAGATTTCGGCAGCAGAAAGAAAATGAATAAATAATATCACTAAAGTAGACTGGCACGTGTACTCTGATACGCCTTTTCACTCCAGCCCATTTCATTCATCGATGCTTTTATCGCCGAAACTCCTTGCAGACTTGCAAAACCATTTCATCTACAATTCGACGAGAGAAGACAAAAGTAATGTAGTTGGCTTAAGGAGTTACAAGAGCATTGAGGAGTCTCACCAGCACCCAGTTTTCACTAGCAATTTGGTGACACAAATCTCGTACCCTCTTCGCGACGATCAACGTGAAGGATAGGCGTGCTCGCCGTACGATCATTGTACAGAAGTTGAGATATATATTTCGAACTAGGACTACACAGAAAGGCAAGATGGGAAACAAAGAGATGAGCATCGAGTAGGAGCAAAATATTTGTAAGAGTGCTAACCGTTCCAGAATCGTACCCAGCCCAGTTTTCGTTGGCTCCTAGTCTAGCTTGATATCTCTGACTCTACTTTTTATGGAACTAAATCCTTTAGAATAAATCTATACTTGCGAAGTCGTACTTTGAAGATTGAGACGTGTCGTCATTAGTCACTTGTGGGACCTTGCTTTCTCTTTATCCACAAGTCGGACAATTCAGCAAAGTTCTGCAGTCCCACTCAGGCTCCAAATACAACTGTTGAGTGGTGATCATTTCAAAAACGAACAGTTGCTTCATGTAAGATTCATAATGAACATCCAAAAGCTGGCTACTGGATGTTGAAGATGTCTCGGGCTGATTGAGGTTGTGTGGACTGCTCGTCCGCAATCTAAATGAGGTAATCGTCGCTTTCTCTAGGTTCTATACGCTCTGCGTGCTAGCCGCTGCTTAAAGCTTATGGTTCACATAAACCTGCAGCTTACACGGAAAAGTAGCCAATTGTGACAGATCGGACAGGTGCACAAGGGCAAGACAGAGAGAGTGGAGAGTGGCTGAGTGCAACTCCTTGCAGACGCAGAGAAAAAGCACTTATCATGATAGTGAAGAGATCAGTGAGAATAGTTCGAACTTAGGAAAATAACAAGTCTGGAATTAGGCCTAGAGATACTTGAAACCTAGGTTAAAGTCGTTTCTCAGAATTTTATTGACTTCATTGCTTGCAACCTGGAGTTGCAAGTATCCCTAATGCCTACCACTGTGGCTCGCTGGCAGTCAATGACCTCCTTCAAGATTGTATCCCAAGACTTTGGCACGCGATTTCCGTTTCCCAGACCAGTTTCCAAAGTCCTCATAATATGACCCGGAGTAGAACAAGAAGCAATGACATCGTCTGCTAACAACTTCTTATTCTCGCCTATACCTTTTCCCAGGAGGTCTGTCGCCCAAGAATCGCACTCCTCTAAATGGGAGCAGAAAGTTTGAGTGGCCTTTTGAAGAGTACCTACAATGTTCTCTGACAAAGACGCAGACTGAACATGCTTCTTCCTCTTGCTTCCAGGTTGCAACCCTGCTACCCATGATTGTAGGCACAACCCAAACCAGGTCATATTCTCAGTGACCAGCGTCACTACCTTCTCCAATATCACACCTGACAAAATTACCTCTGAACTAGTCGTTGAAGTAGATATGGAATCATGCAAAGTCGCGGCCATGAGTTCACTTATGATCGCTAAAGAATCAGAGAGCAGACTCTCCTGACATGTAGAATCGTATCGTTTAACAGGGAACAAAGCCGCGGTCCAAAAAATCGCTAGCGTAAGAGATTCCCATATTGCTACCTGGCAAAAAGATTACCACATATCAGCTTGTCAATGCAGCAATAGCAAATCTCAGGCAAAATTAGACACCTGCATCCTGTAAAAGCATATTAGCATGCTTACAATTAAATAAACTCAATCTCTTCCAAACTTTGTCAAAAATGATTTTGAGTCTAGCGCAAATTAGTAGATACACAGATCGTACGCCAGTGTGAAGCACAGGTACTGTTATCACATGGTAACCTCAACATGATCTCTACACCGATAAATCCGAGAGTATAAGCGCGTAAGTATGATGAAAATGAAAGTCGCGACCGAGTAGAAAATATTGGTAAGAACCTGATTATCAGATGCAGAGGCTTGTTTCGACAACCAAAGACCTAAATCCTCAGCACAGACTCCCAGTGAGCGTGAGCACTGCAGAACGTGCGCCTTCAGCTCAGCAGCGGCAGCAAGGTCAGCCTCTTTATTGCCAGAGTTGCTAGTCAACGCCAGATGCAAAAGCCGCGGCAGCACACACCTGAGTTTTAAGCGCCTCATCGAACAGAACTTCAGTTTCTTCTGAAGTTCCTGCAATTTCAACACAATGAAATATGACTAAAAACACCTGCAGGTCTCACTTGATTCCGCAATTTTAACTGCCATAAAACTTCAAGTTCTAAATATATGTGTAGGCTACATTTTCGAGGCTCAACACTTCAGCCAAAATATTGAGAAGACTATAGGATCGAAAATCAAATTTTCCAATGTCTCGTTATGTTTAATGAAATACATTACAAACATTGAAACAATGTTAAGACTTCAAAATAGACCATCAGGTAGTTCCTGTTAATGTCCAAAACTAGGGATTACCTGAATTCCACCCAGATGCCGAGGGCCGGTTTGCTCAGAAGACTCGGATGACTCTGAAGTTCAATTGTCCAGCAGATAATCAGAACTAAGATACATCGGACAGAACCGTGCTTCGTAAAATTCAGTAAATTGAAAAATGAAATTTACCTATGAGAAGAGATTCATCAGGGGCAGGTGACCACCATGGTCGCGTTTCCAAGTCCTCATTAAACGTAAGTGCATTCAAACGGCTATCTGTAGCCCAATCCAGCTGTGAACGACCTCCATCCAGACTTTGCAAGACAACCTAACCATACATGACATGAGTGTCAACTGCTTGCGTCTCGCTGTTTGAAAGGATCTATCCAAAATATGATAATGAATAACTCTGCCAATTCAACTAAAGAGATTACAGTATAAATTCATTCCTGAATCCGAAGTACAACCCACAGAACAGATAGAAACGTCATCGAGAAAATGGTGCGTTGCAAGAAGTATCTACCTCCATTTCCTCCAAATTATGAGCCTTTCGTTTCAAAGACAGAATGATAGACTCAATACGTGCAACCAAGAGCTGATGTGACTTTTCTAGCTTCTCTTTGAAAGTTAGGAACTCCAGCACCTGGTATAAAGGCAAAGTATATGTATATATATATATATATAAGTGGAAGATTAGAGCACAAGTGTGGATCATATTTATGTACAGAAATCTGGATTGATTTTCACTCAAAACTTCACAAGATGTTACGTTTGACGTTCAAAATGTTCAAAAGATTGCAGGTGTCAAGTGAAACCCACTTTGCTGTAGGTGTTATGGTGATACGCAAGAATTGCAAGATCTGCAGCTTCCCGCCTGTAGTCGTCGTGAAATTTGATGATATCACGAGTCATAGAATCCAAAGCAGCCCAATCTAGAGATCTCACAAGACTTGGAAGGATATGATGTGACATAGAATCCAGGAGGATATACTTCACGTCTGCAGCCTTGAACCTGTGCCAGATATTCACAATCTTCAGAGAAGTTTGTTGAGAAAGTTATAGACAAAATCAACCGCACTCGTCTTCAAATTATCCCACAATTCTGTATTCTGTAACAATAAATATCAAAGAACGAAGGACGACCACATAAGATCCATACAGAGAAATGAAGAAGGACATTCACAGTCAAGTTACTAACCAGGTCCAAGCGGGTTTAGTTGCTGCTAAGAATGAATAAAGATTCACGAGCAAAAACCTGTGCAGTGGATGATATCTGCAGCACTTCAAAAGTAAGTTATAATAAGCTCGGTAGACGCACTGAGCAGCGTTACGTAACAAGGCCTTTCTATTATTACAAAGTTAGTAAGATGACTACAAAACTATTACCTGACCAGAAAAACAAATTGAATAGCCCCAAAAACTCTATTAGGAAGAAATTTCGTACCTTTGAAGTCCTAGCCCCAACTCAAGAACAAAAATAGCCTCCAATATGAAGCCAATATGCTTCGTTTGAAGATACATCTGGAACAAAAGCAAAGAAGATCTATAGCTTATAAGAGAATACCAACCAAAAAAAGAATTAAATAAAAATGAAAAGATAAAAAGAAAAAATAATAAATTAAAAAAACCTATTTGGCATTAGTAAAAGCAACAAACTTTGAGAATCCAACTAACCAGACAAATCTAGAATCCGGTTTACTGCCTCCATCCCAGAATGCAGATTAAACAAGCAATACGGTACTCTGCAAAATAGGATCCTAATACATGTTTTGTACAAAACTCAAATGCGCCACACATCAGTTCGGCTAAAACGTATACCTCAACTAAAAGGTCACTAACTAAGGTCAAAAACTCCCCTCCAAGCATCGCTTCTTGAGAATCTACTTCTGCAGAAAGCTTCACACTCTCAAGGAACAGCTGAACAATCTCTTCAGCGGTATCTAGTAAGCCTGCAAATACAAGTCCCCAGTGGTTAAATCATCATAGAATGTTTGAAAGACCCACATTGATGCTCAGGTCACACATTTCAAGCCACCAAAATAGAGAATTAAGAGGCACAACTATAATATACTCGAGCTAACCTTATCAAACGCTGCTTATCGAGTTTGACAAAACAAGATTAACGTCGATTACTTAAGATAGAAGAATACCAGTCTTGGAAGCATGTGCGTGCTGCCAGCCCAATCTACTTTCCATCTGGAAAGCAGCCAAGCGAAACCGTAACGCATTCACAGGTTTTGTATCTGGTGGCAGATCCTGACAGTATCGATGCATTTCCTTGATGAGCCACGATTGTTGCTCCTTGTCAATATGCAGTATAAATTCCATGACATCTGATGTGAAGCTGGTCATACATCCAAATCTGCTAAGAAGTGTCGAAGAGCATTAGTATTCCTTACGTTATCAAGTGGAATCAACCGTCAAACGTATTTGAGGTATTGATTTTATGTAAATTAGAAACCACTCATGGCTACAAACCACAAGAACTTACACGGATTAATATCTATAAAACCTTAATCAACTCAAAGTTGAACTGAAAAGTGGAAAAATGTGTCAGCCTAAATTCCAACTACACCTTTGAAAATATGTCAGGATTGATTGTGCCAGACGTGCAGAGGGCGCATCAGCTGAATCTGCAGATGATGTCAACATCAACCGTCTTTTCTCAATTCCCAGTTCAGCAAGATAAGGTGCCCGGCGTACTTCAGGCACTTTCAGAGCTTGCAGTTCAAGTACAAACGTATGAACTCTCTGCAATAAAGCCTCTGTCTGCCAATCACAAAATAAATCGATTGTTACCCTCGGATCTATCTTATGAAAGAAGATAATTTTAAAAAATAAAAAAACAAACCCAAAACAGCAGATCCCCTTTTTAAATGATAAAAGATTTGATGAACTACAGTTTACGTGCAGCATGTTATGTGCCAACAATGCCAACAGTTGATAAGACTTTCACCAAGTTTTTTTGTATTTTCAGAACGTCATGGTCACCAAGGACTGCAGTCATTCATAAGAAAGCGAGTTACACAATACCAGTTTGATTCTGATCACGCTGCACCCCTTTTAAAGTATTAGTATTAATTTACCATTGCCTAATATCTTCAGGCTAAAGAAACCTTCACCTCTTCTTTCCTGCTAGATGTCAAAGAAAGAGCCTCCAGCTCATTGGAGACCTGGTGAATAGGATTCAATGTTGCTTCCAAAAACATTTGAAAAGCAGCCCAATCATCTGAACTGAAAACATAGGCCACAGTCAAGATTGCGAATCCATAAAGCGCATGATGTTATCATCATTGTTCTAAGATTGACATTGACGAATTGAACGTGTGACTTGACATCTAATAATTGCAATCAAAACCTGACAGTACATCTTCAACTATCTAATGAATTACAAGTTCAAGTTCAAGCACAATCTACAAAGGAAGACATGTCGAAATGCGGAGAGCTGTAAGAAAAGAGCAAAACACACACCTATTCCTCATGATTTCTTGAAAAACATCTGCTGCCTCCTTGTGCTGATTCAAGTGAACAAGGAGCTCTCCCTGTCAGCTTAACAACAGTCCATGTCGAATCAAACAACTGTTAGAGTATTGTTTAACCAACGCAATAAAACTACATATCAAACTCATTTCTTTCAGATCAGAGTAGCACGCAAGAGGATACCGACACAATTGTGACACTCCACTATCGCCCCACAAGGCTGACTTACGTTGCTAATGAGAATACTGTCAGAATTCTAAACAAAATCAAACTAGTTAATAAGGGATATTCTCACCCACCTGCAACCGCAATCGATCAATGCCAATAGTGAGCAGGTCACCTGACAATCCCTGCAGCAACGTCAATGCATCGCCATACTTCCTCTGACGCTTCAAGATATCCATGTACACTACAACTCCTGTAATAGACAATCAGAACTAGGATTCAGAACAAGAAGTCCATAGAAAAAAAGGAAACATGAATATTTCCCACCAGTGCATAGAGATCCAATCATTCTAAATAAGACATGCAAGGAATCTGTTTACGTTGAAATGTACATTTCTTTAAGTTCAATGGATTACCTTCACGCTCACGCAGACCATGAGACTGATGATGTTTTTTTATCATTGCCTCTGCCAACGGGAGGAGTTTGCTGTTCTCATTGTCGACCTGTAAGTTATCAATGTTAATAGGCGATAACACAGAAATTATGTGTCTGCATTCACTTTGCTATCAGCTCAGCATAAGTAGTTGATACTTCAAACTTTCACGTTGAAAGAAAATATGTCAACACAATCAGAGGTCGAAATTCCGAACAATCTGATCAAAATTTTCGAACATGTCATTTTCAGTAACACTCATTCAATAATACAAAATGACTTAACAACATCCTGCACATCATGTTAACAAGTTCACGAGCAAACATGCTATACACAAAGTATACGAAAAGCTGTAATGGAAGATCCGTATGCTGTAATCTTGATTTTCTTACACATTAAACAGTACAAAAAAAACTGGGAAGTTCCGTAGCAAACCTGTAACAGGATACTGCAAACGGCCCAGAGCAGAAACCTTTCCTCTCCAGCTACTTTGTATAATTTGAACGCTACCTGTTAAAAACCGAAAAGATAGTTAATCACAGTCTACAACATAAGTTTGAACTCGAGTTGCAAGACTTCAAACTATTCTAATGAATCTGAATGATTTTCAGCGCTACCCAACATGCACCTGCAATAGAACGACCCAAAAGAAAACAAGGTTTTGATAAAGTTTAGCGAAGTTCACCTGTTGTTGTTTAACATACAGATACTGACGAGCGTAACAATTAAATAGAGCAGCTTGATAATCCATGTTTTTTGGAAGTTTCAAACACGCATACTCAAAAAGGGCTGTGGCAGCGTCCACTGCTCGAGACAAGGAATAGATTTAGCACTTCGTAAATTTCCCCACTAACCTCAGAAATTAAAGTGCCTTCGTTCTTGTCTAACATATTAATGATCCCCACAGATGATTACCGGCCTCAGCAAATCCACCACTTCAATAAAGGCAGCAGAACAGATGACATTTGTAACAACCAGCAGGACATGACACAGAAAACAACGTCTTATACTGACCTCACCTCCAAAATCACCAAGTAACTACTGCAGGTCAGTTCAGTACAAGAGATTCAAAAAGTACTGATAAGAGCAAGTACGCACACATATTCAAGCGTTGGAACACAGTCTGGAGTGTATTCAAAGTCAAATCATCCAAGGGGTTCGCAGCCTTGGCGCGAAGAGCAAGCTCCAATGCTTCATCTAATTTCCCCAACTTCTCCAGTATCAATGCCTTCAATGCCTACAAGTCGTCAAGAGTACGAAATCCATGTCAAAATTTGCAACCATAAGGTGAACTTGCCAATGCAAGGGTGCTCGTGAAGAAAGTCCGGAATTAGGAATTGCCAATCACGAGCTTGGATCATGGGCCAGCGACAACTTACAAAGAGATAAGCAGAGTCGGTATGCTTCGCCAAGAGGCCCGTAACAAGCTTCATTGCCGATTTGTACTGCCGATGGTCGATGGCGTCCCATAGCGGCTTCAGTTTCCTCTCAGGGATTCCCCCCCTCATGGGCATGGCTTCCTAACCGGATCTAATGCTGCCGAATTATGCAAACTAAAACATACGCGAAAATGCAAAACTCAAAAAAAAAACTCTAGAAACGGGATCCAACATCCTCCGTGAAAAGAGCGACGGGCAGCTCGAAGCCGCGACTTCTTATTGCAAAATGAGGACACAGAATCCTGCACCACGCTGCCTCCAAAGCTTTGGAAATCAACACCACCTAAACTGCCTCAAATTCTATCCTTCGGCGGGGCAGGCTGTGCAGTGATGTGCAAGAGACGCTCTCGAGCCCTAAACCCTGAGTAGTTCCCGTTTTTCCCCATTCACACCGTCATTACAATTACACAGCATTTCGAGGGTGGTGTCAGCCCCTTTCACACTTCCGTCTCTTTGCTTCTTTGACCTCGGATGGAATATACTGATATCCTTCGATATTGATACCCTTCTGTGTCCCAGCAGTCCGCTCTACGCACACGGGTATGGAATGATTCAAACTGGCTTGCTACTTCTCAGTTGAACCTTTTTCTTACTTATATTCATTTATTTGTTCACATGCATGTATGTATGCGCGTGTGTGTGTGAATATAACATTACTTGTTATGAGATAAAAAAATAATAAGATTTAATAATTGCTGTACACCTTCAATTTGTTGACTATTTATAAACTAATAAAATTGTATATTTGTATATACCTACAATATAATTTTTTGATGAGATCCCATATGATGTGATACATAATATTGATTGAAATTTATGTATAAGTATTTATCAAGATTACAAAGTATAGTGTGTATAATCTAAAATTAATTAATTTTTGTATGTATTATTTTAATTGTATGTAATATCTATTTTGTGATTTAAAAGCACACAAGTAAATAATTGAATTTGAAATTTTATTCGGTATATACATATTTTACCATTTTTAAAAATTACCTTGATCACATTACACAATCATTTATTATTTTATTTATCTTGATTTCTATCTTGTTTAATCTTTGTGTTGTGAAGTTTAGGTATTTTTTTGAAAGTGATTTCAATTTTTCAATGAATATATTACAATTGATTTGTGGATGTGTGTATATGTATTCCTATGTATTACTTGTAATGATACACAAATTACAATCTTACTAACACATATATATATATATATATATATATATATATATATTACTGACATTTTTTGTATGCAAAGTAACAATCAATGATGAAGTTATTAAAAAAAATCCCATCTAACATTATCTCCAACATTATCTTGAATATTTTTATAAAATGAACTCAGTTACAAAAATTATGCATACACTTCCAAAAATACACATATACGTACCAAAGTTAGAGTTCTTTAGGGAAAAGAATTTCATGTTTGTTAACCATTCCTGATACAGACCCAAAAACTAAAATTATTTCATGTTGAAAGTATCCAAACAAACTCTTTTTAATTAAAAAAGGGACTTACTATTCAAGTTCAGACTTATTACACAAGGAAGATAAGGTTTGACTTTGGCAATAGACTCCGAATGAATGAAAGCGGATGAAAACGACAATTTTCTGTCCTTGGGCATTCAGGGTAATAGTAGAGTCCGGAACACGATCAAAGGTAAAAAAAACGTTAACCAGAAATAGTAGGACGGAAAGTGGAAGCGAGAAGCCGGAAAAGCTAAAGGAATAAGAGCGTAAAAGAACCCGAGAACACTCATGAAAGAAATGGCCAGAAATATAAAGACGTGAAGAGACGGAAAAGAGAGGTGAAGGATCGTTGGCGTGGACGATTTAGACGCGTTGTGGAGCTCTTCCGTTCGGCGCCCCTCCTTGTTCAAATATCCCAATGGGCCTGCCCAAAATTGCGACCTATGCTTCATGGATTTCCGCTGCGTCAGACAGAGAGTTTTTTGTTTGCAAGAATTCGAGTTTTGTCCATCTTAGTGTCGGAGGCTTATTTCGTTTACCTTCGCGTCGTTACCTACACTGGGAGCACAATGGTATGTCTTGAATCCAAACCCTAACTTGTCTTGAGGATCTGGCCTGAGTTATACGGAAGAAACCCTAGTTGATTTTATTGCTCGGGTCGCTTCGAAGGAGTAGGCAATGGATCACAATTTTCTGTTCTGGCCTCTCGCTAGTGTGCTCTAAGTGTTGATTCTACTTAGTTTTTTGGCGAGTTTTGGCGTTTTAGAGTTCGCTGGTAGGCTCTTTGATACTGATTGCGAGTGTAATTTTGGAGAACCTATTTGGATGTTCCTGCATCTTTGAACGTGTGCCCTAATCCTTTTGGTGGACGTGTGTGTTTGAACTCGATAGTATTGTCAGAAAGTCTGGATTAGTCAATTGATGATGAACTTTTTTTGCTTGCGCGCAGTAGGAATTGAGCCCTGACACTGTGGCATGATAGCGTAGCAGCTTTAGATCTTATAAACTCTTTTCCAATTGTAACAGCTCGGAGCCGGGTGTGGTAGTCTCTTAAGAGTTTAGACACAGTCGCTAGTGTTAACTGACGCAGTCACTGACATATCATGCATTTTTGAAACACACGATGCAATATGTTGTCCAATGATGGTTAATAGTTTATCTTTTACTCACGGTGATGTCATTTACGTGCAAGAGAATGCGTTTTTATTCGAGACACATGTGGGATTCTTATTCAAACCACCTTATGTAGCAAACTTACAATTTATAATACGGGCAACGGAATCTCATGTCGTGCCTGTGATTTATGTGTTCAGTCGACTCTAGCTGCTGCTCGAGCAGATAATTTCTATTATCCACCAGAATGGACGCCAGACCAAGGTGGTCTCAACAAGTTCAATGGCCAGCATGCTTTGCGAGAGAGGGCCAAGAAAATCGATCAAGGCATCCTTGTTATTCGTTTCGAGATGCCGTATCACATCTGGTGTGGAGGATGTGGTCACATGATTGCTCAGGGCGTGCGCTTTAATGCAGAAAAGAAACAAGTTGGCAACTACTACTCGACGAAGATATGGAGCTTCAAAATGAAAGCTCCTTGCTGTGGGCAAGAGATAGTCATACAGACAGACCCCAAGAACACTTTGTATGTTATTATTAGCGGGGCCAAGGAGAAGACAGTAACCTACGACGAGGTTGATGCAGAGGCAGTACTGCTTCCCGAGAAAGAAGGTGTGCTTTCAAGTTGCTTGTATTGTCGCAAATGTTCTAGAGAAGTGGTTCCAGTAACTAGTTTTTCTAAGAATATTATTTGCAGCTACAACCATAACCATATGCGCATTTTCTTGTTAGCGTTTTTAGTTTTATGTGGTGTTCATTTGTCATCTTATTGTGTTAAACCTAGTTCATATGCCTTTCGACGTTTAATCTTTAATTATCTTATGATTTGAGAGTGCAGATAGAGGAAAGTTGGCTGATCCGTTTTACAAGCTTGAGCACGAGGGTGAAGACACAGCAAAGGCAAAGAAGCAAGCCCCTTTACTTGTGAGGTTACAAGAAGCAGCAGATAGGAAGCACTCTGACAGCTATGCACGAAACAAGGCACTTCGAGCTCAACTTAGGGTATATTGTCTTTTTGACCAATCGTGACTACAATCGAAATTTGTGTTAGTATTGGTGTTGGCAATTTTTCCTGCTTGTGCGAGGGCTATCGCCTCTACTTGCCTCCCCTGCTTTCACTCAACACTGCATAACTGATGTAGCCAAGTGAATGTATCACCAGTGATAAAGATTCGGCTCTGATAATTTCCATTGGTTTTTTCAGGCTCAGAAGAAGAGAGTAGCTGCTGAGGAGGTGGAAGCACAGAAACTAGGTTTGGCGATCCGGTTACTGCCTCCTTCCAAAGAAGACAGTGATTACGCTGCGAATGTCAAGTTTGCCAGTAACTTTGGACTTAATCAGAGAAATAAGCGAGCAGCCATCCAAGCTACCTCTATTTTCTCTTCTGAAACTTCCAAGCATTCCACAAACACCTCACGGCCAAGTCCTGCTTCTGCTCTTCGTCAAAAGCTCGATCTGTTGGCTAAGAGGAGAAGAGTGAATGCTGCAGGTGCTAAGGAAATTCTTTGTAGTAATGTTAAGCCTTTAACTAGGGGCGTCCTTGAGAGGGGATCACTTTCTGTCAGACCACCTGTGAAGCTGAAGCAGGCTTGAACCATGTCTTCCTTTCGAAGTTATTTGTACATTAGTTTTGAAATGTTACGTGAAATGGTTCACCAAAGAGTGAAGCAAAGGCATACATGCCTTGATGTTCATATCCTTGTAAATAATTTTTTTTGAGTTTATAAGTAAAGACTATCATTTCAATTACATCCTTAGGGTTATCTAGACAGATATCGTAAGAGTTAACAAAATCAATTTAGAAATGTAGGAGAGTAACTTTCGAATACCCGACGATCATCAAAATCATTAAAATGGGTCATAGTTAGAACCAGGTGTCTTTTAAAAAATTGTTTTTGCTGTATCAAGTCTGGATTAAAGTCTTTGTTGTTCTAGACAAATTTTATGAATCATTGATGTGTATTTACAATCTTACTGAATTTCTTACTTATTTCCCTGATTCCTGTTTGTTTATTCATTTAGTTGTTTATGAATTATTTGAAAAATGTTTCAGGTGGTTAATTTAGTAGTATTTTAATATCTAATTGCAATCACCTAATTTTCAGAAGCTCCCAGCTGGATGCCTATTCCGCTACGACCTCTTTACACGACAACGAGGTCTGTGGAGGGTCCCGATGATTCAGGATAGCGGTGGACGCGGCGTGAGCCTCGTAGAATTGTGTCGCAGAAACCTCTCCATTCAATCGACTGGCTCCGCCATCTCAGATGCAATCGCAACCGCCGATCAGATTTCTGGGAACGGAGGGAGGGAACGTAGGGGATCAAGGGGGCGGGCAGTTTGGAGGCTGGGCAGTTTCGTGGGCAGTAGGTTGGAAACTCAGAAGCCATTCCTCAATGGGCCTGCACTGATCCATGTTGACATACATGGGTGCTGAATTTTGTTCAGGGAGCTGCCTCTCTATCCCCACTTTTCAACCATCACTCTTGCTTCAATTTATTTTAAATTTAATTTTTAAAGTATTTATTTGCAATGTAGCTTTGAAGAGGAAGGTGATGTTGATGCCCTTACTACTTACCCAGATGACTCTTTTCTTTTACTTTAGTGTGGCTTAGCTAGGCATGGCATTGGATGACCTTTTTCATTTTTTAAATTACTATATCTATATATATATATATATATATATATATTTATTATTATATTAATAAATTTATTATTTAATTTTTAAAATAAAATAAAATAAAAAATTATTATCAAAATACAACTAAAAAATAACTTATATGTCTTACAACTTCAATTATATTATCTTTTCTAATACAATTGTATATGTATAGAAGAAATTTCATATGTTTTTAAAAGATAAAAAAATAATAATATAAAAGATATCATGCAAATTTTTATATTACTTATTGGAATGAGTAAATAAAAATAAAAATAGAATAAATTACCTTATAGAAGATATTATATTAGGTTAATGGTCAAAGGGTTGATGCTTGGAATGTAAAAAGACATCCGATGAATGAAGGACATAGTCAAGGACCAAGATTTAAGGTCAAGAAAATAAAAAAATCAATTAGAAAATATTCAAAAGTTAAATAAGAATATAAAGTATATATTATAAAATATTCTTGATGTAGATGAGTTGGCAAATGATTTTAGAAGTGTAAAAGATATTCTAAAGTCTTATCTTTGTAGTTAATAAAATGCTAAAGGATATACTTACTATATCTTTGGATGGATATAAAAGTCAAAAGATGCAAGTTGTTATTAAGGGCATCAACTATTATATATAAATAATAATATTTTATATTTTATTACAGAAGAACCTAGTAGAAAGATATAATAAAAAAGTAAGGATAAATAATAAAGAGGTAGTAAATTTTTTAATTTTAATAATAACTTTTTATAGAAAAGTCTTTTATTTACTTTATTGGAGCATAAATGAGATAAATAATTAATATAATTATATTTAAAAAAAGCTTAAGTATAGGCTTTAGCAAAATTACCTCAAAATATGAAGAATTGATACCTGAAGAAGGTTAGTTGTGAATTGAGATCAAAATCAGATCCCAAAGTATAAAACTCTGCACTTATGGTGATTTCAAGGTTCTTTGGTTGATTGGAGAGTGGGATTTGAGAGAAAACAACAATGAGATTCTTTGAGCATTGGTTTCAAGAGATTTGAGTATATAACAAACTTATAAAGGCTTTACAAAATTAGATTTGTTTTCAAGTGACTTTGGATTTTGAAAAATTTAAAGAATTGGTACTTTGAACAATTGTATGAGATTTTTAGATGATCAATTAGTAAAATTTTGGAATTAAGTATTTATCATTGTATATAATTTATGTTGCAAGTTTGAACTTGATCTAAAAATTTATTCAAAGTTAATTGAAGCTCAAACATATTGAAGTTTCAAAAATTGGAATTCAAAGGATTAGTGAGAATTTCTAAGATATTTATCAATTTGCTAATTGGATTGAAGTCAAAATTTGTATACAAGTAGTAAACTTGACTTCCAATAATTTTGCAAAATTTGAGATTTATTGAATGGTGAATTTAAGAGATTTTGGCTCTAAAATATCAACATTAAGGTTGGAGGAGGAAGGCCAATATCTAAGCGGATTTTAGAGGTTATCTTTTATTTAATATAACTGATCTTCTTCAAATGCTTTTATACTTATTTTTTACTTATTTTTTGAGAAGTGAATTTTTTTTGAATTAAAATCAACAATTCAATCATTAATTATTGATATAACAATCTGCTATAGAATTTAGGATTTGTTTAGGACTTGATGAGAATTCATTAGGATTTATTAGAGTTTGGTCTAAGATTTGATTAAATTTTGATTAGATTTAATTAAGGTTTGGTCTAAGGTTTGATTAGGATTTAAGATTAGATTAAGATTTGGTCTAAGATTTAATTAGAATTTGATTAGGATTAAGGATATATTTAAGATTTTATTAGAATTGGTTTATGACTTCATTAAGATTTGATTAGGATTTGATTAAGATTTTATCTAAGATTTAATTAGAATTTATTTAGGATTTTATTAAGACTTATTTAGGATTTAATAAGAGCTAGTTTATAATTTTATTAAAAATTTGTTGACAATTATATTAAAATTTCGTTGAGATTCAATTGGAATTTTTATTTTTAATATTTTTTAAAGATTTCTTTGATTTTTTTTAGAATTTTTTATTATATACATTTCTTTAAGATTAATTTATGATTTTTTTAGGTTCTTTTTATAAATTCTTTATGAATCTTTTGAAATTTAATTAAAGATTGATGAACATTTTTATAATTTAATTAAAATTTATTTAAGTTTCTATTAAAGTTATTAGAATTTTCTTATTACAATTTTTATTTTATCTTCCATAGCCAAGTTCTTGGTGCATTATCAAGCAAACTTCATGAAATATAACAATGAATATTGGAAATAAGAATCATCTTACTACATATTTTCTTTGTATGCAACCTTACTGATGCTATGTGTTGTAACTTCAAAGTTGTCTTATTTCAATAGGTTATAGAACTACTTATCTTTGCTTATGAATTTTGAAGTTCTTTGAAGTCTTTCTTATTGTAAAGAATAGATCTTATTGTTGTTGTTGATATTAATGTTTGGTATCTTTTACCTTCATATTTGTATCTTATTGTTGCTGTTGATATTAATGTTTGGTATCTTCTACCTTCATATTTGTATCTTATTGTTGTTGTTGATATTAATGTTTGGTATCTTCTACCTTCATATTTGTATCTTATTGTTGTTGTTGATATTAATGTTTGGTATCTTCTACCTTCATATTTGTATATTATTGTTGATGTAGTTTTGCTCTCGCTTGTTGTTAAAAGCATACATGGTCTTGGAGGTTATTAGACACCTTAAAATAATATTTTGAAATACTATTGTTGTGTTTCTATGCTAAATTATATCATTGAGATATTTACATTGTATTTAAATGTATTGAAGTTTTTAAAAGACTTTTTATAGTGATAAGAAGTGTTTCATAAGATTAGAAGTTTTTTGTGAGATTAGAGCTGATTAAAGAATAATAAAGCATATAGATTAAGTTAAAATATAATATAAGACTTATAAAAAGTCTTATAAATGAAGTTGAAAGTGATTTAAGAATAAAATCATTAGTTTATATATAAAAAAGATATTCTAGGTTTATAAGATAATAACACCTTTATCTTGATTTTGAAAGCTCTATCACTTCTTTTCTTGATTTTTTTATACACTTTTTCCTTAAACATGGCTTCAAATGATAGTAAGGGCTTAAAAGTAATTGAAAAATTCAGAAGTAACAACTTCTATCATTAAAAGAAAAAAATAGAACTTTTATTGGCTTCATAGGACTTTTAAAATATTGTAGATGAAAGTGAAGATCTTCCAAGTGACAATATTGATATCAAAGAGAAAAAAGAATAGAAACATTGTGAAAAAAAGGCTTTTAGATTGATAATGCCAAATTTTTATACATAATTGCTTGCAATGGACTAGCAAAAGTATGAAAGATTCTTTGCAATATCTATGAGACTAGAAACCTTGTCAACATTTTATGGACAAGAAAGAAGTTCTTAACAATAAAAATAGAAGAAAGATGACATCATGATTTATGTCAATAATGTAAAAGCACTTGTAAACCAATTAGCAACTGTTGACAAGTTTGTTGAGGATTATGACATTATGATGATATTACTTATGAGCCTTTTAAAGTCTTACAACTACCTCATTGTGGTATTAAAGTCTATTAAGATTAAAGACTTGATACTAGATTATGTTACTTTAAGACTTATCCATGATGTAACCAAGAGGAAAAAAATGAGCTTCAAAACAAAATTTTGTTTTGTTTTGTTTTGTTTTGTTTTAATTTTTTTTATAAATTAGATAAATATATCTATTTTAATCAACATAATAATATAAGAAGTAATATAAAAAATTACTATATTTATAAAATATATAACTTTATAAAAAAAATACTATAAACTTAATATATATATATATATATATATATTGTGATAACTTTGGTTGAAATGATTAGGCTTTCATGACAAGTGAAGGAGCATCTATGGCTGCCATATCCAAGTTGATTATAGATTTGGATGCTACTAAGCATATCATACCATACAAGTATTTATTTAACATAGATGAAGTAATTTGAGTACCAAAAATTTGATAGAGAGACAATGATATGATACTTGCAATTGCAACTGGCTCCATTGTAGTAGAGATTGTTGTG